ATAACCACAACCCCCCCTGTAGCCAACCTTTCTGCAAAAACTGGACTACTTTCACTCAACCAGGTAAACGTATACATTGCACATCCAGCTGGTTCCAGCCTTTTAGATATGCAGTTATATGTAGATGGAGATTTACACTGTTGCTGGTTAATGACCACAGAAATTTATTTTTGTTTTAATCAGCAAGTTGAAGACAAGTGAGATGCTGTGATCCGCTGCCTGCTTTCCTACCTTGCAAAATCATCTCAGGAGCTCTTTGAAGACTACCAGGTACATTTAAAACATCTAAATTACTTTTTATACTTTGGATATGTAATGTTCTTTAAGTGTTAAAGCCACACTAGTATTTTTATCCCCCAAAATTGAAAGTTTTGGGTAACTTTTAAAAACTTTAATCACTTTATGCAACAGAGCACAGGTATTTTATATCACACAGTCTATTATATCATAAAGCAAGAGATAACATTGATAACTTTGCAACTAACTCTACAGTATTTTAATGCACTTATTTGTGTATTTGACAGGATGTCAAGAGACCTGCTTAAAGACTGCTTCACCAATTGTTGGGAAGATCATTGTACTGGGCAGTACTACAGAAGAGGAAGATGCCAACAGAGATGACCCCATCATTCTGTCTGAAATGACTTTTTAAATTTGTTTATTGAGAAGTTTAATTCAAATTAAAGTACTCAATGAGTATTTGTGGCAGTGTTTTAATTAAGAAATAGTTGCAACGCATCACCATATTTTTAAGGATGGCTGACGTGAAACTGACGTTTCGACACAGTGTTGAGATCCCGAAGCGCAAGTGTTTCGAAACACTGCACCGAAGCATGATCCGAAACACCCAGGTCACGTGACTAAAGCGATTCAAAGCATTGATCATTTCAGAGGCGTTTCAAGACCCGCAGAATCTGCATTTGACTGTCATGATCAAGTTGTCAACTGTGGCTTGTATGGCTTAGTGGACAGTGCGTGTGCACTACAGTGCTGTGTTTCAAATTTGTTTTGGGTTCGAATCCCGACTAGTCCAAATACTCCAAAATCATGATTTTATATATTTTAATCATGTTACTGTTTTATGGTGTAGACTAGATAGGATACAGCTGCGGATATGCCATCAATTTAGCATCATTTTTGTAATACTGTAAAACAATAATTCATATTTTTACAGTACTGTGATGGGTTTAGGTTTTGGATAGACGTTAATAAAATACAATGGGAAATTTAATTAATAATATAATTAATTATTGTTAACTTCTGGCCACAACTGTATCTGATCTAGCAACAACCCTGTTTTATGAACAAAACAATACAAATTTATTTACAAGGTGTTTATTCGTATGTCAGAGCAATGTTGAAACAAAACGACACAATAACAAAGCATTACCAACTGCTATTAAAGCATTTCAAAATAACTGTTTCAGTCTGGATTTGAACCCATTATTCCCACATGGCGGTCACGAACTCTAATCGCTCAACTAAACCATTTGCAGATTCAAGGCTACAAAGTGGGATTTCATACCCTAATTTGCTCAACTGTTCTTTGCTGAAGCTGTTTCAGTGAAATACAAATAAAATGACCTCTAGGTGTCACCGTAGAGTGGTGTTTCAAAACGTTTCGAAGCTTCAACACATTTGCTTCGATAGTTTCAGTGTTTCACGAAGCCTCGCTTTGACCACCACTACATATTTTATTTACCGTTTTAAAGTAAAGTTTACTCAGGATAACTAAAAAAAGATAACTAGCAATTCTGGATAAAATTTAATCTCTAAATAGTAATATATTTGAAATGTACAACTTAAGTAAATTTTACAAACAAAAAGTCAATAGGATTTACTTAGAATTCCCCCAAGTAAATTTGACTTAACTTTTCTAATTAAATGTACTAATAATTTTGGTTTATCTTCTACTTGGCAAAGCTTTGAAGATTTACTAGCATTTTCTGAGTAAAAAAAAGTTGCCTAGCTTTTTTTAAGAAAATCCTACTCATTTTTTTTTCAGTGTACATTGCAAATACTCTCAGTTCATCGTGGACTTGATTACAGACACTTATCCTCCACAATGGCGGCACACAATGGTGTTTGTTTGTTTGTTTAGTTTTTTTTTTTTTCTTCTTGATTTTGCAGGACAAGACCGGCAGCTGTGGTTGCCATTAAGCAGATTCACTAAAGGAAAGAAAAACACAAGTTACAGCCAAAACCAAAGATGACATCAACTGAAAATAAAACTCTAGATAAAAATAATAGTACTAAATAATTGGACAATATAAATGTTCTTTCTGAAGATCTCAGCAGAGATCATTAAACAACTTAAATGAGGGGAGCTTGACTCATTACTGAGCTCGGACTTTTCTGTCATGTGGACAAAACTCTTCATGGAGTTGCTGTTGTTCAGTTGGTCACCATGATGGAGGTCAGCGTCTGCTTTAGTTGGCCTCTTCAGCTGCTTATTTTAACACTAGTGTTATTTAGGTAGCCATAAATCGTTGTGTTGATCACACAATTTGTATGGCATGAGAAGCCTAAAGGAAATTTAAGAATAAATGTAATGAGGTTATTTAATTTACCTTTATTTCTACAGTGCTTTTACAATGTAGATTGGGTCAAAGCTTCACATAAAAGATCATCTTTACAAGAATCAGCCTTTCAATTACAACAATGGTGACAAACAAAAACAAAAGAAAATCAACCCAGAACAACACAAAACACTCTACTGAAATATAACAGCCAAGAACAGCACACAATAAAGGCAAAGAAAGACATTTCGAGAACTTTAAGTGGCACAGCTTATTTATGCTGCAATGCATGCTGGGAGTTTTGTACTATTGACCCTGCATGCATTGTGGCATGGATGAATCATGCAGCCTTTTAATTTTAGTAACCGTGGTTGAGGTTCATATCTTGATTCTTGATGTCTTTGTGTCTAAAAGGGTCATGACTCCCCCCACTTTTGGTTAAAGTCTACTTCAGAATTTTTTCAAAAGATGCATGATTAATGGGCGTGGAGCTCCGCGAGCATCGGGCAGGAGTGGGCGTGGCCAGCAGGGGAGAAGGGGAGAGAACAACTGTTGTTGACAGTTAGCTCACAAAATGAGACAAAACGCGAGGAGACGCATGAGTTTATAGTTCTCAAAGGTAAAATGCAAAGAAATAAACTGTAATTTAATGCCCTGCTACATTTGTTATTTGTAATTTCATATACACATAACCACAATTAATATCATTATAAAGATAAGTGTGTTCATGTAAACCCTATAAATGAGGATTCTCCCTCGATCCCCGGGTCTAAATATAGATCTGAATGCAGACTCAGTGCAGCAGGTCTCCTGACCTGTCTATTTTAACCATTAGCCCTGCTGGTAATATAGAGGATTTAGGCAAACACAGCAGCACGGCGATGTGTCTGAATGTGAACGAACTCCTGATAAAAGTCAACGTCCGCCATTCTCCAATTCTCGTACTGCTCTCCCGACAAAAATGCTTGTAGCACACACACAGCTTTGCTGTATCAGCCCTGACAAGATCGCGGGGAAAACAACATGCAACAAACCCCGTGGATCATGGAAACAAACACATACGAGCCTTCATGAACGGCTACTGCGTGCCGTGGGACCGTATCTCACAGCTTGCTTGAAACTGGCAGGTCTGTCTTGCCTTCAGAAAGCACGTGCTCTCATGAATGATTAAGCAGCCGGCTCTTCTCATAGGATAAGAAAACTCCGCTATGAATAATAATGAGAAACCGACGCGTCATCATTGCACTTGCAGTTCTGCGCTATGTCGCCGATTTTGATCCGCCCCAAAAATCATTTTAAACCTGGAAGCTGAAATTAGATGACAAAAGCTCAAAATTATCCAGTTTTCCCCACAATTAAAGCTGACAGGTGCTAACATCGTCTTAACTGATGCTCAACACACACACATCTGTTAATATAAAAAAAAAGTTCTCCAGGGTGTCCTGAACCTTTAAATGTGCTTCTTGAGCTCTCAAGGTTTTGCGTATGAAACTATATTAATTAATTTTAATTAATTCTTGTTTGTTGACTCTCCACGGGAAACTTTCCAAATGCCCCAAACCACGTCACATAAACCTGCAATTGTTTTATATATAAGTTATAGATTACTAGCAATTATATCTGTAACAAATATTTACATAAAGCGTCTTATTGCCTTTATTGCCATAGCTGATGAGTTTCAGAAACAATAAGATAGAAGAGTGAAGGATCAAGAGCCCAACTAAAGCAGCCTCTGATCTCCATGATGGTGAGGTCAAACTGAAAATCAATATAGAAATAAAAGCGCTGTTCATTATCAAATGTTTTTCAGTGGAGCTGCTGATGCTGTTTGTGGAGGTGTTTAAATCAGTTGCTTTGGTGTGAGGCTGTTGCTGTATGTGTTTATTTCTCATTTTCTCCTTCTGTGATTGACTCTTTAACATCATTTCAGAACTGTTCCGAGACCTGGCGAGTCTGCATTTGACTGACTGGGTCAGAAACACATCTGTCTTATATAGCCTAGTGGACCATGCATGTGCATGCTGTTACTGTGCTTCAAATGGCTTTTGGGTTTGAATCCTGCTTTGTACAAAAGCTCCAAAATCAGGATTTTCTCTATTTTAATAATGCTACTGTGTTATGGTGTAGTCTAGATAGGATACAGCTGCAGATACACCATCAATACAGCATCATTTGTGTAACACTGTATAGCAATAATTCATATTTTTACAGTACTGTGACGGTTGGGTTTAGCGTTTGAGTAGACGGTATTAAAATACAATAAATGAGGAATTTCATTAATAGTATAAATAAGTCTTGTCAACTTCTGACCACAACCGTGTCTGATCTAGAAACAACCCTGTTTTATGACCAAAACAAGACATATTTATTCACAAATAGTGTTTATTCTGATGTCTGACCAATGTTGAAACAAAATAATACAAGAACAGAGCATTTCAACATAGTTGCATTTGCCTGGATTCAAACCCAGTTTCCCTGCATAATAGTCAGGAACTCTGACCGCTCTGCTATAACACTTGTAGGTTCAAAGGTACAAAGTGGGTTTTAATACCTCAATTTGCTCAATTGTTCTTTGCTGAAGCTGTTCCAGAGCAATGTATAACAATTACCACTGGGTGTCACTGTAGAGTTTTGAAACGTTTCAAAGCTTTGACACATTTGCTTCGACTGTTTCAGTTTCATGAAGCCTCACTTTGCCCACCACTACTGTTAAATGAAGCGAGGAGAGCAAGCTGAAGCAGGATTTCTACATCTGAAACACACATAATACAGGTCAGTCAGAAGCAGAACAGAACAGTTTACATGCAAACTCTAATTCAACACACCAAAAGCAGCTAATCAAGACATTAATATGACAGCTGATCAGGAATAAACTCAACAGAAAACACCAGTGACAGACAGAAGATCCATTAGAGAAGACTGATAACATGAACAGGAATACTTCACTCAGGTGTTGTGAAAGCAAAGACTCCTTCATTAATGAAATCACTCAACACAAGACATCCAGATTAAAGCAAAGCAGAGGTGTGTTTCACCTGTAGGGTTTCCATGCTCAGCATCACACTCCACCGCAGGTACACTCTGCAGGATTACACTGACCTGCACCGCAATCACAGCCTCTCTGAAAGCACACAGTCAGATCAGAACTCTGCCTTGAAGAGTCCAGAGGAAAAGGAAATTCAGTCTCTGACCCACAACTCACAGTAGGGGGCGGTAATGCTCTGTTTAAGAATGCAAACCGCCAATAAGACAAGAAGAAGAGCTCTACCTGCTGTTTCACCCACCTGTGTGTTTCTCCTCCAGTGTTTGCTCAGTGGTTCACCTGTCCGTGTGTTCTCTCCTGCTCCTCTCGCCCGGTCAGCATCACCAGGTAAGCAGAAAGGGTTCCTCCACTATTATAGATCTGCTTGATGGTGTCTGAGACAGATTAAACACAGAGCTGTGGTGAATTCACCATCATTTCTCTAACACTCAGCCAACAAACAGGCCGTGAGTTACAGCTGATCACTCGCTTCACTGATCTGATCTGTAGATGAGCTGATGGAGAGAATGTGGGGATTTTATTCTTGTGCTTGTCTTCTTGCTCAGCTGTGATAGTGCACTAGACAGATGCTGCTTCATCTTTAACATGTTCTCAGACAAATATAAGAGTTACAGTATAAACACAAGCCTCCACAAACCAATAACCTCATTAAAGACTAATCAACAAAACTCCACATCATTTGCACAGACAATCATTTACACAAGATCATCAGACACTGGTCTTATCTGAGAGCTGGAAACAGCAGGGTTTCTGAAGGGTTTAAGATGAGGCGTTTTCAAACAACTTTCTTCTTCTGTTTACTGGTGTTTGGCAAACAGTGTAAAGGTGCAGATTCTGCCACCTACTGGACTGGAGGGTGGAGTGCAGCTGAGTTGAGGACTGGAGGAATGGGGAGATTTAATCTGTTTCATCTCTTCTGCTCTTTCAAATATGTAATCATTGTCATTTTGCTTTTTGCTTTTCTGCAATGTAACAGTGAAAGGGTTTTCCCACCCAAATCTTTAGTGACTGAAACTGCTGGAATATTTGTTGTTGACATTACACTAATATACGTGAGAGTGTTTCAGTCCACAATAACAGCTTTCATTTGTGTTTCCTCATTTTGTATGAAGTTCAGGATAAAGTTAAATGGACATTTTCTTTCCACTTTATAACCTGTATGTTCTGCCAAATCTTCATCTTGTAGCTGATCAGTCACTTTTTATCTGCTTCAGAGAATAAAGACCTATCAGACACATCCTAAAGCCACATCTGACTCCTTTAGCGTCTCTTTCACTAAATACTCTGCTGTCTCTTTCTGTTAACACAACATGTCATAAACTGACCTTCCCACATCTGTGTGATGTACATTAATGAAAATATTTCATGTAAAGGTCAGGAAATATTGGGGTTTAATTTGATATGCCTAACCCATTTACTTACTAATTTGCGCAGAATTAATTGAGTGTTTTAATATCGTCAACCAAAATAAATTCAATGACTGTATTTACTGCTTGCACTCTGAAACATCACCGGCTCTTTATGATTATTTTGATGATGTGTTGCTTTAATTAGTATTAGTCATTCCCAATAAATTAATCAAGTGTGTGTGTGTGTGTGTGTGTGTGTGTGTGTGTGTGTCTCAGACACATTGACCTGTGTGTTTCATGTACTGCTCAACCAATCATGTTGATTTTTTCGTAATCATATTCCTAAATATTCTGTGGTGCTGTTTTACTGGTGTTCCTTCATCAGAAGCGTTTCTCCTAGTTGCACTAGAGCTGAGTCAGTTGTTGGGGAGATGTCTGGAAAGCTCCAGAACTGATCCTACAGTGTGTTTTGAATAGTTTTCATTGTTTAAGGCCGGTTTGAGAAGCAGAGCTGTATATTGAACTGCTGTAAGCTATTGCTGATCTCCTGATCTGTTTAATGATGGCCTCACCCCATTACATTCATCCCTTGTTACATTTATCTAATCCGTTTTGGATATGATTATTAAAAGTCAACTGCTCCCTCTATAATCCTGGAAATCTGCCTCAGTTGTTTTAATATGTGACCATGTGTGTGTTTACCTTTGAGTTGTTCCCTCTTTTTTTCAGAAATGGGTTAGCAGTAATCCAGATATTGAGAAGCTGAATCCCCTTCTCTGTCTTCTGTTTACTGCCCTCGGTGTGTAATTTACTACATATATTTTATTTGTATCCTGTTTTCACACAGCAGCAGAGTCTGTATAATGATGACGCAGGTGTTTCTCTGCATTCACTGACTCTTTTCCCTCAATGCTGATTTCTGATTCTGGATGAACACATGATCCTGTGACTCTGATAATTCCTGCTATGCTTGTGTTCAGATATGTGCAGTGTATTCGCGTGTGGTACACATGTTGAACACACACTCTGTATGCTCATTGATGAGGTTTGGTTTGGTTTGTTGGTCTGATTTTTTGCCTCTGCTGGGTTGTTGTGAAAGCTTCTGTAAATCAGCTCAGTGTCTGCTGTTCTGGTGTCTGAAGCATTGTGTCCGCCACCACCACACATCTATAATCTGATACTGAGATCGTCTGTCACACACACATTGCCATTCACTTCCAACCAAACACTCATTATATGTAATGTTTCTTGCCTTCATCTTTTCCCTGACGTCAGTTTCACACCACCATCCTAAACTGTGTTTAATGTTTCACAAATTCTCATTATTGATTTATAAATGATGCCTTTTCTGTTTACAGTAACACATATTTTAGATTAATTATTTCCTCCTGTTATGGATGTTCATCTGTGAAGTGTTTTTGAAAAATCAACAAGGTAAAATCACTTTAGAAATAACTCTGACCTGGTTCTCTGCCTGATAGACTCGTTCTGTTTATTTCTGCTTTCATGTTTCAGTCATAAAGCTGGATCATCATCATAAACCCGCTCTGATTGTGTTCTTCATTTCCAGCTGTAACATTTCATTTGTCTTTTCCTAAATCTTACACCTCGTCTCTGCTGTTGTACAGTCTCTGCCTGGTCTTACAGTATTCTGGGAATTCCTCTTTTATTCCAGATTGTATTATGTACTTCTCATGTTTTGCTGACTCGTGATAAGATAATGTGAAGTGTGTGTGTGTGCGTGTGTGTGTGTGCGTGTGTGTGTGTGTGTGTGTGTGTGTGTGTGTGCGCGTGTGTGTGTACATCAGTACCTCCTTAAATATGACTTATCTTTTTTATGTGTTTTAGCACACTTCATCATTTTATTTTCAGTATGCTTCTGAAACTCTGACTCTTTGCCTGATTCCTTGCTTGATGTCTTTGGTATCGAATGCAAATGCAAAGACTCTAATGATCCGCTTCAGCTTCATTTAACAGCATTTTCCTCATTGACTGATCTCCGTTGTCTTTACATTTTTCTCAGTCCTGAAACTCTGGTTCTGTTTTCTATCCTGAAGTGGTAAAGTGTGATGTGATGGTCATTGCTGTGGGTTTTTCTCTGCTGATGAGTCTGACACTACTGTAAATGAAGAGCTGAACAGAAATGAGGTTTATAGACGTTAATCGTGTGATCTTCCCTCTGTTCGGTTTCAGTTCATGTATATATTTAACTCCTCCACTCATTCTGTATTATTTGCTTGTTTTACACATTCCTCTCCGTCTGTTCTCTCTGCATATCTCTGCACTTCTCTTCTGCTAAAATGCTGATTCACTCAATAATACACACAATACCCAAACCTCCAGCTTTTAGGACAATGCTTCAATGCTTTAGGACAGGCTTCATCTCTGTGTCTGAATGTTAGCGGTTTGTGACTAACACTGTTGGACAGGATCAGCTGAGGAAGCTGGTGTTCGAGAGGCTCTCGGTTTTTGTCTGGGGCTGCGTCTGAGTATATGATCAAACCCAGCTGTTTTATTAAAGTCCTTCAACATCTGTCCTACAGTGCTGGAGGTGTTTTATGAGTCGCAGGTTTCGTCTCTGCTGTTGTGGGGGTTGAACTGGATTCTCTGATGCTGGTGTCAGAAAGCAGGATGTTGTCAAATCTCAGACACCACCACACACACTTTATAATGTCCTGATAAACACAGGAGTGTGTTGAATCAAACACTGATGTTAGCTAGGTGCTCCACAGAGCGACACCAATATCTGTGCATACCTGTGGCTATTAAACTATAGAAATCCATCTTTAAATAATGAGTTCATGGTGTAATATTGTTTATTTTTTATTTGATGTATTCTTAATTGAGCTCCAGTAATAAACTTGATTTCCCTCTGGGGTTTAATAAAGTGTTTGTGTGGTTTACGGGCTGATGTGGAGGCGATCAGCTGAAACCTGCGGCGTATTTTGAGAATAAAAATGTCTGTAAAATAGATTTTCTCTAATCTACACTTGTACCGCCCTCCACACTGCGACCTTCCTCTAATGGCAGAATAATGCTGATTTGAAATTATTATTTCTATTGCGTGTTATTTATCTAATCCATTCTTTAAAGACCTTTAATCAACATGTCTGAAGCGGCTGTCAACATTGGCTGGACCCGATCAGGAGAGCACATTACACAGCAGCAGAAGGTACGTCTGACCATCAGTTTGAGTGTTTCTTTATGTCTTTAGTTTTTGAATAACCAGATAAACTCAGCAGCTATGATCATGTGTATTTATGAACAAACCCTGTGTGCGTCCCCAGACCTGCCCTCAGCAGTAATCTTCATGTGTACTGAAGTGAACACTAATGGACGATACCTCACTGATGCTGTGTGTTACTCACCTGACAGTCCTTTCTCAATACAAAACTGCATCAGTCATGTTGCTGAAAAATCCATACAGTTACACAATCTGTCTCTGTCAACAAATGTACTTTATTTGTCTGAGGAGAAGTGATGATGAGTGTGTCTTTTCCTCCAGGTCTTTTCACATCCAAAAAATGATCACCATCAGTCTGAAGATCCACACAGGAGCAACCTGAAGATGCAGAACACAGAAGTCCAGTATGGTGGAGCGATAAAGGATATCAACATGATCTACAACACGGGGAGCCAATGTGACACACACACACACACACACACACACATCCCATTGCAATAATATGGGATATTATACTTGTTTACCAGTCCATTCATCTTCTTTCTCTTTGTGTGTCTATTTACTAGGGTTGGGTACTGAAACCCAGTGCCAGTATAGCACTGGTACCTTGGTAACCAGTATGTACCTGTATCAAATCAGCGTATGAATTTCGGTGCCTAATTTCGATGCTGCGGCAAAAACGTAAAAAGCATCAAAGGGGTGCTTGAAAAAAGTCACACATAGGCGTTGTGTCACACCATCACTAAACATTTAATTCTAAACAACTTTGAAGAATACGGACAGGCGATATCAGGCATTTGTTATTGTCGCTGGGGAACAGACGCACGCAACGTAGTACAGCGCATTTAGCCTGGTTTTCGTTGAGAGCGTCACTCTTCAGATCTACATGCGTGATAACGTTCATCCAATTTGCTTAAACTAAGCATTCTAAAGCGTATTTTACAAGCAAGGATTCTGACACATCAACTGTGCTTTACAAAAGTTGCATGTAAGTGGGAAACATGTCAGACTTGATGACACATTTGAGGGCTCAAAGGCAGAGGACTGCCTCTCTCACGTGCTTTAGGTGTCACGCGCAATCGCTCCCTCGGGCACGCGCTCCCTCTGCTTTCATGGCACTCTCTGTGCGCACATCAGTTCCCTGCATTCATCAGCTGATGCCCAAATTGACACCAGTAATAAAAAGATTAAACTTTAGTCATGTTTATGTTGTGAAACACTATCAAAATGTCCACTGTTGATGATATTAGACTTCTGTTTTTAATAGCGATATTAACACTTTTAATATAGGAAGTGCTCGGCTATGCAGAGACCATTATTAATCAGAAATCTAGTGTAAATCATAG